CAGTTATCCGGTGTTATACTCACCCCAAGATCTTTCTCCTTGAGTGAGGTTTGCCGTCTTTGGCCACCTAGCCTATACTCTGTCTGCGGTCTTCTTTGCCGTTCCCCAATCTTCATGACTTTGCATTTGGCAGGGTTGAATTCGAGAAGCCAGTTGCTGGACCAGGTGTCCAGCCTGTCCAGGTCTCTTTGAAGTCCTGCCTAATCCTGTGTGTACGTGTGTGTCCCTTTGTCTATCTCTCTCTCTTTCTCTCTCTCTCTCTCTCTCTCTCTCTCTCTCAGTAATTATCCAGAGTGGCTTTTACCATTTCTCACCACCCAAATCACCATCTCGTGACAGACGACCAATGAGATGAGAAAGAAGATCCATCTTGGGAAGATAAGAAGCGGGATTTAAATGCACTTTGTCGTGCAAGAAGAAAGATGGCGTTGAAACCAAGACGACTGGATTGGGACAGTTTGCCAAGAAACCGGGTTAGAAGCGCTTGGAAGACTGTTTACTACCGGGCAGCTTTTTACCACTCAAGGGGGTGTCAGTACGTTCATAAAACCCACCAAAGACACTTAAGTGTGAGCTTTAGCAAACGGTATAGGGGTACGCTTGAGGATCAAGTGTGAGTTTGATCTAGCCATTCAAGGGAACAAAACAGTCACTCTCTACTACCACTACTAGTACTGTTACTACTATTACGACTACTACCACTACCAGCATTATCACTATTTTTCTTCCTCTCTTTCTCCTGTCCCCTTCGCTTATATATAAAATGGCTCAATCATTGTCTTCTATCCACCCCTTTAATTTTTAAAGGGGTGCACCGGTAAGCCAGCGGAAGGCCTCGATCAGATGACCAAAAGCTCCAGCTGCGAGTCATCATATGACTAACACCCGCGTCAGGAAACACTTGTCCTGTTTCCTGATAAACCATACCTAACCTCTCCTGTCAGTGTGGCTTGTAAATGGTCCAGGTCGGACCGAAACGTCGTTATAAGCTTTTGTGTAGTCAAGTGTGACTTTATTAAGGTACATAGCACAGAGTGCATTTACATGTCAGCTTTATCATGGACTGGAACACTCGACTATTTTTAAGGACATAAAACACACAACACAGTCAATTTAACCTTCGTCAGAGCACAGAACACGCAACACACACAGGCGTGACCTTCATCAAGGCACGAAATATGCAGAACACTCAGGCGTAACTTTCGTCAGAACACAGAATACGCAAAGCACTCAGACGTGACCTCCGTCAGAGCACATAAAACGTAAAACACTGATGCGTGACCTCCGTCAGAGCACATAAAACGTAAAACACTGATGCGTGACCTTCGTCAGAGCACAGAACACGTAAAACACTGATGCGTGACCTCCGTCAGAGCACAGAATACGTAAAACACTGATGCGTGACCTCCGTCAGAGTACAGAACACGTAAAACACTGATGCGTGACCTCCGTCAGAGTACAGAACACGTGAAACACTGATGCGTGACCTCCGTCAGAGTACAGAACACGTAAAACACTGATGCGTGACCTCCGTCAGAGCACAGAACACGTAAAACACTGATGCGTGACCTCCGTCAGAGCACAGAACACGTAAAACACTGATGCGTGACCTCCGTCAGAGTACAGAACACGTAAAACACTGATGCGTGACCTCCGTCAGAGTACAGAACACGTAAAACACTGATGCGTGACCTCCGTCAGAGTACAGAACACGTAAAACACTGATGCGTGACCTCCGTCAGAGTACAGAACACGTAAAACACTGATGCGTGACCTCCGTCAGAGCACAAAACACTCAAAGCAGGACACCAAACAATAATAAATTATAGTCTTGTCATGGTGAATGAGAAGACTCAACAAGAAGACTTGAACACATGGATGCTTGTGGACCCCCATACCACCACCAACAACAAACTCGTCACCCATAGTGATAAATTAACACTCAGTGTTGTGACACAACACTACTCGGGTAATTAAGGGACGAGACCAAACACTGTGCATTGCATTGGTGGTGTGTGTGTCGGTCCAGTCATACACCCTATCTTTTTTAATATAGAGGAAGGGAAGGAGTGCTCCGATTCGATGGAGGATCGACGTAGCCGTAATCCTCGTAGAGTGATTTCCTAAAACAAGTGACTAATTGTAAGAAAAGAACACAAAAAAGGCATGATATCGTGATTGGAACAATACACAAATAACCCGCACGTAGGAGAGAGAAAATCTCACAGATCACATGGTGTGAGTTGTGAATGGTCCAAGTCGGACCGAAGCCGTCCAAAATCAAAGTAGGTTCGAGAGTTATGCTAACTTTAACAAAACGTCTGCTTGATCAAAAGTTTGTTGGTCCTTATCGAGTAGTTGAATATATCACTGGCAATAAGTATAAGGTTAGAGAAATTAGTACTGGTCAGTATAAAGAATCGCATTTAGATCATATGAAGTTAGTATGTGATGATAATGATGTTCTAACCCAGACTAATGTGACAGACTCTGACAATCCTCCTGATCCTGTACTCTCTACCTCTAATACTCAGTCAGACGATCAACCTGAATGTCGTTATTCCCTACGTACACGACAGGTATTGAGGAATCCTCAAGTATCATTTGTAACTACCAATTCAGATTTGTCTCAAATACTACATGAGTTAGCTAGTGCAACAGAGTTTGATCCTCCCAGAGATGACACCCATTCTGCATATGTCAATCTCACCCTAGCAGAGTTGGGGCTAAATGTAAATAACCTGTATAGATGAATAATTACAGTATCAACTTATTAATATTCAAGAATTTTTTTTTTTTTTTGTATTCGCGTTTTCTCCGAATTCTGAGAGTTAACAGTCTAGATTTGAGTGCACCAAGTCTGCCTTTCTGTTAAACACTTCTTTCTTTGTATATATTTCTTCCTCAGAATCCGTAGATCACATGAATACCGATCGATCGATCAAAAACAAAACAAAATTTTTATCACTTCTATTGTGTAATCCCAATGTTGAGTCTCATTCTGTGAGTCGTGCTATATCATACCTTGTAATGCATTACAGTTTCATTATAATCAATTACGTTAGCTTCCATTCCAATATTCTACTTATGTATGTTATAATGTTCAATTGTTGTGTACTTTGACATTGTATAGAATCAGCCCAAGCCGTATGCCTGCCATCTCTAGTTTGTATTAGCTGTACGTCGGGACGACATATGTTAGTGTCGCCGAGCTCTCAGTAGTACCAGTTCCTAGTAACCAGTTGCCAGTTACCAGTAGTATGACTCACTAACAACCGTCTGTGTGAATCACTTGTTATTCACTGTTCAGCCGACCTAGCATGTTTTGAATGCCGCTACCCTCCGAGGCTCTCAGCAAGCCAGTTCAAGTAGAGGTGTTAGACAGGCGGTAAGTCAAGGCTTGGTGCTATATTCCACCCAATATACTAGAACATCCAACGTGAGTGTTATTACCCAATCCACGTTATCGAACCCCCACATGACACACGGTGTGAGTTGTGAATGATCCAAGTCGGACCAAAATGTCGTCCTCAGCGTTTTCTCTCTCCATTCCTCCAATATCTTGAATGAATAAATATTAATTAGAATTGATATACATTTTATAATGTAATTATTCAGGTGAGACTGATTGGTACTTGGTACTCTGTCCTGAGGATGAGAGGTACCTCACTCTCCCCTCAGCAAGGATACAAAAAGTCTTCAACGAACCAAATTCATTGAAGAACAAGCGCAAAGACTTTGTTTATCTTCTTCAGGCCAGCCTACAGAGTGATAAATTTGTAGATGGATGGTTCAGAGAACCGACATGTTGATAAATTAGACACATGTGCAACTCTTGGGTATCTTTATTGAGGAAACGTTTCGCCACACAGTGGCTTCATCAGTCCATACAAAGGAGAAACTTGAAGAACAGGAGGAGAATGAGGTAATCAGTCCCTCAACCTTGAGTCGATGTGTTCAGTCCATCAATCTTGAGTAGAATACACATCGACTCAAGGTTGAGGGACTGATTACCTCATTCTCCTCCTGTTCTTCAAGTTTCTCCTATGTATGGACTGATGAAGCCACTGTGTGGCGAAACGTTTCCTCAATAAAGATACCCAAGAGTTGCACATGTATCTAATTTATCAGAGTGATAAATTAAACATATGTTCAACACCTGGGTATCTTTGCTTTGTAGGGATGTTTTGCCAGTGTTTTTTTTTTTCTTCAGTACACTAACTAGACTTAAGAGGTAAGATAAAGCAATCAGTCCCTCAGTCTAGAAGCATTTATCTAGACTGAGGTACTAAACACCTGCCTCTAGGCTGAGGGACTGATAACCTCATCATCTTCCTCTCGTTTATTGTATTGATAAAGCCACTGGGTGGCGAAACGTCTACAAAGTAAAGATTCCCAGATGTTGAACATGTGACTAATTTAAAATTTTGTCGGAATTGTAAATCACTGATATTCATGCTATGGAATGCCAGAAACTGACAAACTTACTGCAGCACTACTGCATATTACCTCTGGTATCGGCAGCGTTCCTGGCTAACTAGTGTTCTAAAGTCTTCGTTATTAGGTACTATCACTCCCTCACACCTTCAGCACTCAGATTTCGTCACTCGTCTAGACAGCTCCGACATCGACTAGAAACTGGCTAGCTTGGACGTCGCTTCCTAGTTCATCGTAGTGTTGGTACGAACTAGGATGTCCTCTCTCTATGCTCCTAGTCTGGCCTCGTCTTGATCAACTAAACACTCGGGCAGCATTTGGGTTTCTTAATTTTGGAAACGTTTCTCCAACTGTCGTCTTCTTCAGTCTAACGGTAAAAGATTGGGGGTTTGTTGACAGTCTGAGGGAGAGAGAAAGAGAGAGAGAAAAAAAAACAGAAGTAAACACCTTACGTAACTTAATCAAAATGAAGGTAAAAGTAATGCTTATTGTAAAGGGACACAACGTTAGATTTACTCTTTGCTCGGCCACATCTAAATCGTCTTTCTTTTTCACCTTTTCAGGGCGCACGTCGAGGTGGGTGGAGGTGCGTGGTGTCCCAGGGAGATGGTGTACCGGGAGGGGGCCCAGTACCTGGAGGTCAACCTCGGAGGCCTGCACGTGGTGACCAAGGTGGAGGTGCAAGGCAGGTTCGGCAATGGTCAGGGAAGAGAGTTCGCTAAGCAGTACAAGTTGCAGATGTGGCGGCCCGGCATGGACCACTGGACCACTTATAGTGACGGTCGTGGCGAGGAGGTGAGTACCGGTTCACTGGACCACTGATAGTGACATTCGTGGCGAGGAGGTGAGTACCGGTCCACTGCAGGTGGCTCGGCATGGACCACTTATAGTGACGGTCGTGGCAAAGAGGTGAGTACCGGTCCGCATGGAGCACCAATGGCCCGGACATAAACCGTCCTTGGCCACCGGTAATCCCTTTGAGAAAGACTCGTTCAAAAATCAGTTAAAAACCTCCGTAAACAACAGAACTATATCATCAGTTTACAAAACAGTCCGCCAATAACAGGCAAGCTTTCAACCAGAGATAAGGCGGAGCACCAATGACAGCGAAGCTTTCAAGCAGAGATAGCAACACTCCACAAATGACAGTGGTTCTCTCACGCCAAAGGTTCACGAAATCAACCATTCATTGCCAACTATTTGCATCTTCAATTACCCTCTAACAACCTCATTAATCTGTTCAACTGAACTAAAATACCTGTCTACTGGTATTGAGGTTTGAAGCCTATCGACTACACGAGGGTCATTAAGGCTGCATGTCACCTGTTCATCACCAGTCAAGAATACCTTAATACCTAAAATAGGGAAGTATACTCACAGTGTATATACACTGAGACATACACCGCTCAGTGTATATTGTACTCACCTATTTGTGGTTGCAGAGGGTTGAGTCACAACCCTTGTGTTGCTCTTAATATTAATATTTGGTTATAACAATAATAATCTTTATCTTCACATGAAGTTTCCAGTATTTATATAACTCTGCCCCACTCGCTTCTCTCTCTACCCCACTCACTTCTCTCTCTCTCTACCCCACTCACTTCTCTCTCTCTCTACCCCACTCACTCTTCCCTCTCTACCCAAGTCACTGCTCCCTTTTTGCGCCACTCACCTCTCCCTCTCTACCTCATTCGCCTCTCTCCCTCTCTGCTCACTCACCTCTCCCTCTCTCCCACAGTTGCTGGAGGGGAACACCAACACATACCTGGCAAAGACCTCTCAGTTGAGTCCACCCATCATAGCGGCCAGGGTGAGGTTCGTGCCTTACAGCGACCACCCTCGTACAGTGTGTATGAGAGTGGAGATCTACGGTTGTCGCTACACTGGTGAGTCCTACCACTGTGTTGTAGCAGCTGGTGTTATGTTGTAGCAGCTGGTGCTGTGTTATAACAGCTGGTGCTACAATAGTTAGATTTGCTATACATTTCTACTGTTTGCTGTTAAATCTTGTATTAAATTTGTTTAAGGTGACTAACGAGCGAACTACCTCATTACTGTTCCCCTCAGAGGGTCTGGTGTCGTACACGATGCCTGACGGTGACCCCCGGGGCGGAGACTACAACCTCCGTGACCTGACCTACGATGGGTCTCGCAAGGGAGGCTGGCTCTCTGGCGGTCTAGGTCAACTGAGTGATGGTGAGACTGGTCACACCAACTTCCGTGTTGATGCTCTGGGACGAGGCAGAGGTAAGTGATGCTGCTGATCTTACTGAGAGAGAGAGAGAGAGTACATGTACAAGGGAGTACAATGGACAGATAGAGGATGGCTTGGAAGTCCATGCCAATGCTGTTTACTGAAAGGAACTGTCTACTTCAACCAAGGTGTGTGAGTCAAAGATAGTAAAGGAAAAGGTCCTGAGAGAGAGAGAGAGAGAGAGAGAGAGAGAGAATTAGGTCAAACTGTATTTTTCGTGAGATTACGTACAGTTGAGAACTGGAGTAACTATGCTCTGGGTGGACGATAGTCTACTGATAGTTCTGAATACTTTGTAAACTAACATAAAGGTCACAGTCGCTACAACTAGTGTTTGTATTGTGTTTAGTTGAATCCAAAGTCAGCGTTTACCAAGCGTTAGTCAAGCCGGGTCTTCCAGGCCTGACTTCAGAGGGCAGCCTGTTCCAGTCTTCTATTTTATCTACAGAAAAATGTATATATATAATGTGCTTAATAAGCCGAACTTGCCGAATATTCTCAAGTTCTTTGGAAAAAAAAAAGTTTTTATAGATTGATACATTTTTTCACTAACAATGTAAAAAAATATTTTGGGTGACCAACCGTAACCTAGAAACTGCACCTGACCTAATTTAAATTAACTTTTTTGTCAAATTCAAATGTCATAGATCAGGTTATATTTATTTAACAATGCTTTTTAGGCCTAACTCGCCATGTATTATAATATATATATATATATATATATATATATATATATATATATATATATATATATATATATATATATATATATATATATATATATATTATATATATACATATATATATATATATTATATGTTTCGTGAATTTGTATAGCTGTGTGTATGATTTCTTTCACACAATTCAGCGCGTCGAATCACATTTCTCCCTAAATGCAACACGCCCCTCCAGAGCCCACAATGGCAAATTAGGCAACTCCCTCCCTACCTCGTTCCCTACCTCCCTCCCTCGCTCCTTCCTACCCTCCATCCCTCCCTCCTTCCCTCCCGCACTTCCAGCCTGTCTAATATTCCAGCGTGTGCCATCACTCATCAGGAATCCACATTCCATCCATTGACATTCCAGGAGACCTTCACTTACCCCCTTCCCTCTCCACCCTCACGCTTCCTCTCCCTCATTCCCTCCGTGTTTATCCCTCACTCCTCCATCTATCCTGCATTCAATGCTTTCCTTCCTCTCCTTCCTTCCCTTCACTTCCCTTCCTCCTTCCTTCACCATGTAATAACAAAGCCAGCCAGGCTAATATTCACTTGCCTGGAGAGGATTTTAAGGAAAAATACATTGAAATACGATATTTTATATCAAAACAAAAGCTTTTCTGGGCCGTGATGCAATGACGCAGCGATCCTGAGTGCATAGAAGACGCAAGGATCTTGAGTGCTTAGTGCGTTTAGTCAGGCGTCCACTAATGTAATTACTAGTTTGTCATAGTGAACTCTGGTGAGAAGTTGAAGTTATACCTTGATGTGGCTGAAATTTTAAGGTTCTTCTTTGATGTGGCTGAAATTTTAAGGTTCTTTGATATGGCTGAAATTTTAGTGAAAATCTATTAAAACATGGTGGACAGACAGTGTAACCTGAGAGTGGTCACGGAGTGATACCGGCCATTTTTTCATGTAGGGGGGGGGGGGGAAGTGACAGCGCCGAGGATAAACAAAAGAGTAACAGTACTGCGACCTCCTGCACTACCATCACTCTTAGTATTAGCAGTAGTGCTGATGCTGCGTCGAACTTTTCTTCCCTCCCTTGTCCTACTTATTATACCAGGATCCCCAGTATACCAGGATCCCCAGTATACCAGGATCCCCAGTACACCAGTATGCTACACCTCCAGACTCAGCCAGGCTCAGCCAGCAAGAGTGGCGGGCGACTGGAAAAAGCCAAGAGTCCTACTCTTTTTAACTTCTACACCCTCCTGGAACTAAAAGCAGCCTTCCAGGAATACTCCCGTCATCCAAAGACAGGTAAGGTCTCCTCACCCCGTCCTGGAAGGCGGCCTTCCACGTCCCCAGAATATATTTCCCATGGTAAACAACACCGCCGAGGTTTACCTAGGAATGGAAGGGACAGCCATATTTTTACCTTCTGCCTAAGAGTGCTCCAGTTCCCCGAATTAAGCCTGAATGCCTTCCACATTTTCCCCCCCAGGCGCTGTATAATCCTCTGGGTTTAGCGCTTCCCCCTTGATTATAATAATAATAATAATCTGCCTAAGAGTTGTAGCAGTAATGATAATACTCTATACCATTAATTTCATTATGGCAGACTAACAAATGTCGAGTGTGCAGGTGTGAGCTTGTCACACATCTGTCTGTCTCTGTTTATTGTTCAGTGATTGATGGATGATGTGGGACAGCGGTTACACCTGTTACTCACCCTCATTACTGGCCACATCGTGAATAAATCACCTTGATCCACAGCTGTTATTGTCCACCACTGAATGAGTCTTGTGTTATTCATGAGTCTTAATGGTCCTAGTAAAGTATTATTCAGGATGAGTCTGATTATTTCTCTCTCTCTCTCTCTCTCTCTCTCTCTCTCTCTCTCTCTCTCTCTCTCTCTCTCTCTCTCTCTCTCTCTCTCTCTCTCCTCTTCTCTCTCTCTCTCCCTCTCTCCTCCCTACTATGAAAGATTACAATCTTGAACTCTTGTTTATTATTTAGACTTATTTCATTGTCTACCATTCTTTCTCCTTCCCACATATCTCCCTCTCTTTCTCCCTCCCACATACCTCCCTCCCTTTCTCCCACATACCTCCCTCTCTTTCTCCCTCCCTTTCTCCTTCACACATACCTCCCTCCCTTTCTCCTTCACACATACCTCCCTCTCTTTCTCCCTCCCACATACCTCCCTACCTTCCTCCCACATACTTCCCTCCCTTCCTCCCTCCAGCATACCTCCCTCTCTCTTTCTCCCTCCCACATACCTCCCTCCTTTCCTCCCTCCCACATACCTCCCTACCTTCCTCCCACATACTTCCCTCCCTTCCTCCCTCCAGCATACCTCCCTCTCTCTTTCTCCCTCCCACATACCTCCCTCCTTTCCTCCCTCCCACATAACCTCTGTTCCACTTGGATTGAGAAGTTTCAAATTTACTTTTAACATCACTAGTGGTTGATATGCCAGGTAGGCTTATTTATGAAGCTTGAGAGTGATAGACCTAGGACCCACTAGTGCGACTGAGGAAGTATAACAGTGGTAATACAGTGGGTAGGAGAGAAGTATAATCAAGGTGGTATGGTAGTGGTATGATCACTGTATTAGCGAAGAAAAAAGAAATTTCAAAAATATATGTAATGAAAAGTGAAAAACAAATATTGAAAAAAGTATAGAAAATCTAGAATATATATACTGATATTTTTAGAAATATAAATGAACATTGGAATTAACATTTCTGATAAATTTCAAGACACACACACACACACACACACACACACATACACATGTATATACACATACACACACAGACATATACATGCAACATACACGCACACATATACACACAAGACAACACACATACACACACACACACACACATGTATACACAAAAAGTATACACACACACACATCACTTACCACTTGCCCACAAACAGGCACCATAAAACACCTAACCAGCCATCCAACACATGAAAAAACAAGGTTGTGAAAACACCTGGGCAGCAACGCCCTAAACGCCCGGAGATCTCGCCTTAAATGGAACGTTTGGTGAAAAAAAAAGTGTAAAACACGTGTACAACAAGTGTAAAAACACCAGTAAACCACCACGTAAATCAGTGTAAAAACACGTATAAAACCAGTTTAGAACACGTTTAAAAATACGTGCCTTGTCGACCCTAAATTATTAACAAGTTCAGTAAGTTTGTTACAAGTTTAATAAGTTGGAAATAAGTTTAATAAGTTGGAAATAAGTTTAATAAGTTGCAAATAAGTTCAATAAGTTGGAAATAAGCTTAATAAGTTGGAAATAAGTTTAATAAGTTAGTTAAGAGTTCATCTAGTTGTTTACAAGTTCAATTAATTACTAATTTGACTAACTGTTAAAAATAATAATAATATATCTTAAGTCAGTGTCGTAAATTATTTTTACAAGATATCTTAAGTCAGTGTCGTAAATTATTTTACAAGATATCTTAAGTCAGTGTCGTAAATTATTTTTACAAGATATCTTAAGTCGGTGTCGTAAATTATTTTTACAAGATATCTTAAGTCAGTGTCGTAAATTATTTTTACAAGATATCTTAAGTCAGTGTCGTAAATTATTTTTACAAGATATCTTAAGTCAGTGTCGTTAATTATTTTACAAGATATCTTAAGTCAGTGTCGTAAATTATTTTTACAAAATATCTTAAGTCAGTGTCGTTAATTATTTTACAAGATATCTTAAGTCAGTGTCGTTAATTATTTTACAAGATATCTTAAGTCAGTGTCGATAATTATTTTACAAGATATCTTAAGTCAGTGTCGTAAATTGTTTTACACGTGATACATCTCGTTTATTAAGGTTACAAGTTTTTATCGAATTGTAAATGATTTACAAAACAATGGTGATTAGTCACTCTTTATCGTGTAAATGATTTACAACACGATGGTGGTAATCACTCATTATCGTGTTGTAAATGATTTACGAGTGGTGGATCAAACAGGCTGTGGTGCATGTGTGGGCCAGCGAATCGCCAATAGCAACAGCCTGGTTAAACAGCCACGTTAGACAGAACGTTTCGCTCAGTGTATGGAGCTGTAGGCTGCTTGGGAGCCCACCCGGTGCGATGTTTCGCTCTACACTGAGGGAAACATGACATGAGAAAAGCTTTACACGGAGAAAAGCATGACTTTATTAAACTCTGCACTGGGCGAAACATTCCTTTATAAAGCTCTTTACTGAGTGAAACATAACATGGTAAAGCTCTAGACTAAATCATGATATGGTTGAGCTCTACAATGAGTGAAACATTACTTGACAAAGTTTTACACT